GGAGCACACCTTTCCTGATTTTTAAACCATTCAGTGTCCCCTTTCTCTGCTCGAACAATTGCCTCTTGGCCTATGTACAGGTTGCTCATGAGAGCAATTAAGTGTTCTGGAATACTCATTCTCCAAAGTGTTGGGACAGCATGTCATGATCCACACAGTCAAAAGTATTTGCATAGCAAAAAACAAAAGCATAGCTAAACATCTTTTTGATATTTGCCGGTTTCAGTCAAGACCCATCTGATGTCAGCAAAGATATCCCTCATTCCACTTCCTTGTCTGAAAGCTGGCTTGAACCTCGGCAATTCCCTGCCAATGTACTGTTGCAGTCATTTTTGAAGTCTCTTCAGCAAAATTTTACTTTCATGTGGTATTAATGATATTGTCCTATGATTTCTGCATTCCTTTGGATTACTTCTCTTTGGAATGAGGACAAATATGGTTCTCTTCCCATCAATATACCTGGTAGCTGTCTTCCAAATTCCTTGGCATAGAAGAGTGCATGCCTCCACAGTGCTGTACCAGTTTGTTGAAAGATTTTAATTTGCATTTCATCAATTCCTGGAGCCTTGTTCTTTACCAATGCCTTCAGTGCATACCGCACTAAAGTCACTGGTCTTACAAAATTCTATCACACTATCTCCGGCATCATTTCTATCACCAAAGCCATATTTTCCAATGACTAATCCTTCTTCGATTCCAACCTTCACACTGCAATCACCAGTAACTATCAATATATCTTGACTGCATATTTGATCAATTTCAGACTAAAGAAGCTGGTAAAATTCTTCAATTTCATCATTACAGCTTGGTGCATAAATTTGAGTAATAATGGCATTAACTGGTCTTCCTTGTTGTTGGTAAGTGCCATCAAGTCGGTTCTGACCCATAGCAACTCTGTATAGGGTTTCCGAGGAGCGGCTGGTGAGCTTGAACTGCCAACCTTGCAGTTCAAATGGCTTTGCAGTCTGGTATATTAACCCACAGCACCACACCAAGGTCTTCCTTGTAGGTATATGGATATTATCCTTACAAAGATAGCATTATGCTTCAAGACAGATCTTGATATATTCTTTTTGATGATGAATGCTATGCCATTCCTCTTTGTCATTCCAGGCATACTGAACTATGTGACTGTAAGATTCAAAATGGCTAATGCTTAGAGTACTGATGTTCATTTATTCCACATTTCATTTTTAATAATTTTCAATTTTCCTAAATTTATACTTCACAGACTCCATATTCCATGAATAACAGATGTTTGCAGATGTTTCTTCTCATTTTGAGTTGTGACCCCATCAGCAAATGAAGATCCCAAAGGCATTACTCCATTTGAATCATCACAGTCAACTCTACTTTGAGGAGGCAACTCTTCCCCAGTCATATTTTGAGTGTGTTCCAATCCGAGTGGCTCATCTTCCAACATTATATTTTACAATACTCTGGTGGCATTCATCATGTTTTAATACTCAATATCCTAGGGCTATCTGACAGTGTTTCATTGCTATTTATAAGGTTTGCAGTGGCTAAACATTTAGAAGCAGTCAACTTCTCCTCCTTTTGAGTTTGTCTTAGTCTGGAAGCACAGATGAAATCTACCCACCCTGGCAGCATTCAAAATACCTGTGGTATAGCTTTCAGGTTTACAGTCACATGCATGCCACCACAGTACAACAAACTGACAAACAAATGGTTTCAGCTATTATAAGGTATCTCTTTAGTACACAGAAACATAGCCAATACGTAAAACTAGGTTTAACAAACGCTTGTGTGAAAAAAGTTGTACCATGCAGCAAAACAACATTATTCAAGACCAATATTATTCACTATTATAAAAATGGGAATACTGGTATGGTGCTGTGGGCATGGCACTGAACTGCAAAGCTGGCTTGAACCGTAAGGTTGGCAGTTCTAGCTCACCAGTCGCTCCTTGGAAACCCTATACAAGATCACTATGGGTCAGAACTAACGCGACAGCAATTAACAAAAATCATAAAAATGACTTTATATATCCCATGTTCATGGACTGGAAAAACTTAGTTATTTAAGATGTCAATCAAAATACCAGCAAGGTATTTTATAGGTAATGGAAAATTGATTCTAATTTTTTATATGAAAAAGCAAAAGACCCAGAATAAAACAAACAAATAAAAAATTAAACTCAGTATCATTGAGACCATTTCAACTCATACTGACCCTAGATAGGGTTTCTGAGCCTATAAATCTTTATGGAAATAGATAGCTTCATCTTTCTCCTATGGAATAGGCTGGTTAGTTTGAACTACCCAATCTTTAGTTAACAGTCCAATGCCTAGCCCACAGCACTACGAGGACTCCTTAAGACAGAGTTCAGTGTTAACACTTCTCAACTTCAAAACTTACTATAAAGCTGTAATAATCAATATAGTATGTTATTGGTGAATGAACAGATAAATATAATCAATAGACCAGTAGAATACAGCCACAAAATAGATATAAATAAATACAGTCAACTAATACTTAACAAAGAGCACAAAGCCAGTCAATGGTGAAAACACAGTCTTTTAAACAAATGGTGCATGATCAAGTAGACAGTCCCATTCAAGAAAACAAATCTAGACACACAGATTACCTCTTTCTCAAAAATTACCTCAAAATGGATCATAGACTTAAATGTAAGACACAAAACTACAAGTTCTAGAAGACAACAGAGGAGAAAAACCTAAATGATTTTGGGTTTGCCTATGACTTTTTATATACAATATCAGAAACACAATCCATGACTGCTAAATTGGACTTCACTGAAGAAAATGAAAAGACAAGCTACAGTATGGGTACAAAAATGACACAAACCATTCCTCCCACAACACTCTCTACCTGGCTGGGTTTGGTAATTCATTGTAAGGCCACACAGAACTCAGACATACTCACAGTTACGAGGTTTATTATGGAAGTTAACAGGTTATAAAACAGGGTCAGAAATGCTCAGGGCATAGTTCTTTCAGTCCGGACAGTCTCTTCTCAGTCTTGCCTGCAGGTAGGCCTCTGTATGTTACAAAGCTTTTATAAGGCTGCTGATAAATGCCCAAAGGTACTCCATTCCACTATAAACTTCAGCCCCAAAGCACTTGGCTCTAGCTCCATGGGTCAGCAATTCTAGCTAGCCCAATGAAGAGCATGGAGGCACTCCACTCCACAGCCTTCTGCCTGAATGCACTCAGCTTTACTTGTTCTGTGGGCTGGGAAGCCCCCTGTTCTGTCTAGTGTTCGGGTTCTTCGTTCTGCTGCTCCTCCTGTATCACAGCTTTCTGTCCTTGGGTAAAGGAGGTTCAATGTTCATATTCTACTCCTTGCTCTTCTTTGATATTAATTTTTTAATTCCCTATTCCTCCTTCTGAGATGTTCCATGCTTCAACAATCACAATTAATTCTGCTAAATGCTCACAATTGAATCTTAAAATCCTATCAACCTCTTCTCCCACCTTCTCTTCTTACCCACACCCAGCAGGGCAAAAACATTGTTTGGGAGCAGTTACAAACACTATGGTTGGGATTACAGTGTGGTGATGTAGGATAAGCATTGAACTGCTAACTGCAAGGTCAGCAGTTCAAACCCACCAGCTGCTTCTTGGAAATCCTATACAAGGTTGCTATAAATTGAAACTGACTTAATGGCACTTAACAACAACAACAAAGACTATGGGTAGCAGAAACATATGAAGTAATTCACTGCACTTCAATGCATTGCACACAAAAGCTAACATATATACAAAACGTAACATTAGGTCTAACCAAATTAACAAAGACAGAAATTAATAAGTGGTTGCAAGGGACTCTGAGAAGGGAGATGAGACATGAGTACTTAATGGATACAATGTTCCTTTGGGTGATGAAAATATTGTGGGGATTACATAGAAGTGATGGTTGCAAAACACTATGAATGTACTATGTACCATGGAACTATACACTTAAACTGATTAACAACACATAAGCACTTATTTTAGCTGACAGAAACTCTGACAAATGTACAGTAAAATATAAAAAACAAAATCTGCTGCCACCAAATTGATTCCTTCTTATAGAGCTATATTTAATAAGGAGTGTTCAGGTGGCATAAACGGTTAACACAGTATGCTGCTAACTAAAAGGTTGGAAGTTTAAGCTTACCACGGTGTCTCGAAACAAAAAGCAGACAGTGTAAAAACCCTATGAAACACAGCTCCAACTGACATATAAGGGGTTGCCATGAGTCAAATCCACTTGATGGCAACTGGCTAGTTTTTGTATATTTAATAAAAATTAAAATGGTAGTTATTAATATATCTATTTTTTACAGAGGGAGTAGTTAATATAAAAAGAAATTCCCCAATACATTTTACTGAAACTTATTAATATACTAGATGTCAGCCTTTTTTGAGTAATTAAAAAAACTAAAGAAGTAATGTGAAATCAAGGTCATTCTAGGAGACTCTGCCAACCATTCAAAGTCTATCAAACCAATCCACAGAGGCTAAGATCATCCAACTCTGATGTCAAATGTGTTGTGCATAATTAATTCCACTCCACATGCCAACTACAGCCTACATAATTCTCAGCAGCTTCTCTTCCTTGATTAGTCTAGACCTCACTTGTCAACACAGCCCTTTCTCTCTCTAAACCCCATTCATTCAGTGACAAGTCAGTGTGTACTGGCCCCTTCTCTATTTCTTAGGTCCAGCAATGTGCTAGGACATTAAGGGTTATTTTTCACTGAGCAAAATAATATTTTTTAAAGTATACAAATACATAGGTTAAAGTCCAAGAGCTCTTGGTTGCAGAGCTTCTACCTCCCTTCTGAGGAGGAGGTACTTACTGCAAGAGAGCAGATGTTTACTCTCATCACCCAGAAGCTCCACTGAGCTCCTTCTACTCTAAAATTTAGAATTTAAAGGTGTTTATAGGCAATTTCAAAAATATATTCCAGAAAATAGGCTTATAAAAAAAGGATGGCAAATGGAGCACACAATTTAAATTAGTATACAAACCTGTAGTTCAGTAAGAACTGTTTTATGCCTCTTGCTACATTCAATCTTTTCCACTCGTGTTTTCAATTCTGCCAAAGTCTTATCAAACACAGCACACTGTAATGTACACAGTTTTTCTTCCAGCAACCATTGTACAACCTAGAGAAATACATATTCCTATGTTACTAGTAAAGAGAGCATTCCAGTATGTAAAACCAATTAATATGCCAGTTCAGGTAATTCTCTGTAATCGTGTTAAGATGCAGATTCTGATTTCAATATATCTGGGGTGGAAATGCATGCAAGTTCTCAGCAAGGGATAAACTAGAAGCCTTGGTATTAACTAGTTTAATGAAAACAAACAAACAAAAAACACAAAGCAATGCTATCTTTTGAAATTTACAGCTTCTAAATATCTACTCAGAAGAGTAAAATAACATAATAAAATTAGACAAGTTCTAGAAAGTAAAATTTTAAAAACAATTGGAAACTGAAATTTTAATATTTTCTTCCCACGTCCTTTAGGGTTTGTATTCTAGGGAAGTTGTTCTCAAACCATTAAAAAGAAGAAGAAGAAAAAAAAGATATGACTAGTTTTTAAGTTTTATAATTTATTGTAGATTAATTATTTTTATATGTGATAGGCTAAGATGTTACTATAATATCAAGTTTCTATGAAACACATTTTTTAAATATCTACTGTCAATTTCTATATTTATATCATCATGGGTCCATACCAAAAGGAAGGTTGGTGCTTTTGTCTGTGAACTTTTAAATAACACTGTTTTAACACTTGTTAGCATTCAGGGTCTAACCAAAAGGTCATTAGTTCAAACTTAGCAGACAGTCTGAAGTAGAAAGATGCAACCGTCTATTCCTGAAAAGACTACAGTCTTAGAAACCCTGTGGGTGGTTCTACTTTGTTTTAAAACAGTTCGCTGGCTCAGAAATTGACTTCATGGTAATGGGTTTGGTTCAAACTTCTAATTCTAACAGCTCTATCAGATAAGACTAAATGAGCATTATCTGCAAAGTATTGCAGGGGGATAAAAGACACTGGGAAGAAAAAAAAGCCACTGTCTAATTAATTGTCTCAATATTCCTTTTACTAGTGTGGATATTTATATTGTATTTCAAAGAACACTGGTATAAAGCTTACTTTTTTTTCCTAATTTCTTGACTATATAAATAAGAAGTCCTTGAAAAATTCACTTCACATGAACTTTATATTCTTCCCTAAAAATAAGTTCTAATCATAAATATGTTTGTGATGAGCACACTTTAAAATTACATAAAACACTAAATATTTTCATTTGTAATCTAACAAATATAAGGAGTAGGTCCCAAAGTCCAAATATTCCCTTTCTCTAGCCATTTTAAAGATGTGCTCATACCATTTTAAAAATTATGCCTAAGGTACATAACTAAGATTTTAGAATATAAGGACTAGCTTATGATAACTATAATGTTAACATGTAACACTAATGTTTCCTTTTCACTAAAGAAATTTTATATGTGAAGGTTAAAAAAAAGCTAAAAACAGGTAAGTTTTGTTGCTAAAGCAAAGAAACACAGATGTCATGTCTGCCTTTCATTAATCACTATTATCTCCAAAAACATCTATATAGCCATAAAAGAGTCAGAATACATTTTTTAAATTAAATTATCAGAGATAATAATGAACTTTACAAGCTCAACCACTTTCTTCAAGTTCTCTTTATATGATAAGCCAGATTATCAGGAAAGTACTGAATGATGTCAAGCATCTAAAAGAATAAAGACTCTGCTACTTTATATTTTAATTTATAATCTATAATACCTTTTGCAGTTTCTGGTTAATATCTCCTTTGGCTGTAATCTTTACTTGAAATTCTGCTTCATATTCTTCTTCCATATATCGACGGCGTTTAGACTGCACATTGTCCATGTCCTCTGATTTAGAACGTTTTCTTCTGGAAAACTCATCTGAGGAAAAAAAAGTATAAGGATTAGTCAAATATTTTTATGACAGCCTTAAAATCTACACTTCATACTCACCAAAATATTGTTTCTACAACAATAACATTCTCAACCAATGATTTTAGGTATTCTATTTTAGTTAAACAATGATTTTATATAATTATTAATGCATTCACTTCATGTATTATGTATTTTATGTAGGCAAGAACCTCTTATAGCATTAAACTTAAATGATTTTAAATATGACAAATAAGAGCTTCCTAATGACTAACCAATGTAAGATGGGAGTTGCCTAACAATTGTGTTAAGCATAAGGGAGAAGAAATTATTTCATATTCATTTCCTATGCTAAATTTCATAATGTACATGAATTCTAACCAAAAAAAGTATTTAATCTCATGTCATACACTTCTAACAACTACACATAAATTTCAGTATTTACGTCTTCCATCTTAGTAAATGCAAGAAATTTTACTTAGTCTTAAGAAAATAATATAGTTAATTCTTTGTTGTTATGTGCAGTCAGACAACTCATAGCAACCCCGTATACGGTTTCTGAGTAGTGATTGGAAGGTTTGAGCCACAACAAGACTCCAGAGTTATTTATAATAGAGTCTAATGAAATTTAAATATATAAAATAAACATCATCATAAAAATACATTTGACAAAAGACCTTCTTCACTCACATAACTTCTACTTCAAATACTAGTAATATTCATAAGATCATAAACAAATTATACCTAGTTTTGTTTCAATATTTAAAATTAAAATTACTAAATTCACATGTCTTCTTTATCTAACCATCTCTCTCTCTCTTTTTCCATCTCACTAATTGCAACAAAAACATCAAAATGTGAAGTTAATATTTTTTGATGTATCCTCCATCTAAATCTATACCCTTTGAAGGCAAGGTGGTATTTCCATCTCTTTTAGCCTTCATCCCCACCCGTCAAGAATTTTGTATGATGTTAAAATGGCAGCTTTCGTATCCTCAAAGGACTCCGATTGTGTTCCCATTCAATGCTCCTTGAGTTTCAGGATCAAAAAGAAGTATGAAGGGGTAAGATAAGGGCAGTAGGATAAAAGGAGTAAGGTTTCCCAATGAAATTCTTGTGAAGACAGCGTTTCATAAATTCGAATGAGCAGGTACACTGCAATAGAAAAAATTTCTCCACGCAATTTTCCTAGCCTTTTTCTCACCAATGCAGTTTTCCAATTTCTTAAAATTTCTCCCTCATAAGCACCCATGTTGGTCATGTGTACACTGAGAAATTGAGTATGATTACCCTTTTAGAAATCCAAAATATAGTTTACATAATCTTCTCAGAGCCGTTCCTTAAATTCAACTTGCCCAGCAAAGCCCCTCAGAAATCAATGTTTGGATTGGATTGTTTTTTTTTGTGTGTGTGGTTTTTTTTTTAAGATGAAGGCACCAAAGTGAGACAAAGACAAGTTTGTTACTGACACAATATATCTGCAGCCACCCACTAATTGCAGAGATATATTTCACATTTTGTGTGAACTGGAACCCTAATGCACTGGACTGCAAGGTAGGTTTGAACAGCAAGTCAATGGTTCAAGCTTACCAGCAGCAACTCAGAAACCCTATACATGGTTGCTATGAGTTGGTATTGATTTGACAGTACATACGTAACACAACAAAAGTATCTATTTGTGCCTAATATTACATCCAAATTTACTCTGTTGTTGTTATTGTTAAGTGTCAACGAAGTCAGTTCCAACTCATAATAATCCTGTATAGGATTTCCAATGAGCAACTAGAGTGTTTGAACTGCTGACTTTGTGGTTCGCAATCCAGTGTAGTGCCAAGATCTACTCTGTATATTCTATATATCAAATAATTTACCTGTGATGCACAGGAGAGGAATATAATGGGGAGAGTGGTAGATTGCAGGGTTCCTTATTTCTATTCAGTGACCTTAGCTATAAACCTAACAATACTCTGCCTCATCCTTTCCCCTTCTTAAAAAGTTTAAGAACCAAACTAAACTGAAACATTTATCAGTCCATACAAAAATAATACAGTCTAATGTTTAATCATAAATTTAAATAATTTCTCAAGTAATTTTTTGTTAAGTGCTATCGAGTTGGTTCCAACTCATAGCTACCCGGTACAGGGCTTTCAAGGAGTGTCTGGTGGGTTTGGATGAAAAAACATACGGTTAGCAGTTCAGTGTTTATTCTGCAGTGCCACTCCTAACTTACTAAAGCTTAATCTCAAATCTTTCTTTTTAAACACTGAAAAGTACAAAAGTACACTATAAAAGACAGTATATAATTAGCTTAAAGAAATGCTTGGGTTAGTCATCAACGTAATGATTTAGTTATGGCTTGTTTGAATTGCAAAGTTTTATAATTATCTCTAGGACAGAAGTATTCCACAACCTTAAAACCAGAAACAGCGAAATGATTTTTCAAACTTGATCAAGTTGGGTTTGTGCATGCATACTTTTCTCTGAAGGTCTTTCATCCTCTTCATGAGTTCCTTGCTCATCTTCTTCAAGTTTGCTGTTTTTTTCATTATTTGCTACTTCTGCTGTAACAAAAGTAGAAAACAAAATCATACTCCCATTCAAATGAATAATATTGTTGTATACATTTTTGGTGATGATTCAATTAATCTTATGAAATCCAAGTTCTAAAATATAAAATTTTGAAAATAAACATGGTGCATCAAATGGTAGAAATGAATCACCAAATCCAGTTTCCAACTGCTCCTGAAAATTCATAATAAAGTTTTGATATAAGAAAATACAAATTCATAATACAGATTTTAAAATATAGAATCTTACTTAGTACTTCACGGTACCATAAGATTAATAAAATGTGAAAATAACTACTATAAAACACTTAGATTCCATTGCATTTAATTATTAAAGACAAACGAGTTCTTACGTGGCACTGTGGGTTAATGTGCTGGACTGAATAGTTGGTTTGAACCACAAGTCAGCGGTAACAATTAGAAAAAAAAAAAAAAACTTTTGAAAATTTAAAACGCGTAACATACTAACAGGTTGAGTCACTAGGAAACTAATCAAAGATAAAACAATTTCACAAGTCCACACAATTAGTTAAGAAAGAAATTTAAAAATCTATTTTTTTTAATACACCAGGATGTTTAAGTAATCGTAAAAGACATGGGAGGAAAAAAACTGTTGTTGTAAAGTGCTGTTGAGTCGATTCTGATTCATAGTGACCCTGTATAGGACTCCCAAGGAGCAGCTGGGAGGCTTGAACTGCCGACCTTGCAGTTAGCAGTTCAATGCTAAAAAAAGAGTCAATGTTCAACCATTTCAAGAGGGAGCAATATGAATAAGAGCCAATGATCCTAAAAGGAAGAAGTTGAAGTACACTGAAGGCTTTGGCAAAGGACAAGGATCCAGCAATTGATGGAATACAAATTGAAATTTTTCAACAAACTGATGCAGCACTGGAGGCACTCACTCATCTATGCATCTATGCCAAGAAATCTGGAAGACAGCTCCTTGGCCACCTGATAGGAAGAGATTCATAGTTGTGTTCATTCCAAAGAGAGGTGACCCAATGGAATGCAAAAACCATCCAACAATATCATTAATAGCACATGCAAGTGAGCTCCTGTTAAAGATAATTCAAAAATGGTTGTAGCAGTACATCAACAGGGAGCTGCTAGATATTCAAGCTGGATTTCAAACAAGACATGGAACTAGGGACATCAGTGCTAACATCAGATGGATCTTGGCTAAAGGCAAAGAATACCAGAAGGATGCTTATTTGTACTTTATTGACTATGCAAAGACATTAAACTGTGTGGATCATAGCAAACTATGGATAACACTGCAAAGAAGGGGTATAACACAACTTAACTGTACTCATGAGGAAGCTGTACAAAGACCAAGAGGCAGTTATTGGAACAGAGAAAGTTTTATTTAAACATTACAAAATTGCAAATAATATGTTCTCCACAAGAAGATGATGAAGCTTTCAGCTCCAACAAAGATTTACAGCCTCAGAAATCCTATATAGGGCTGTTATGAAATGGAACTAACTCAAACACACTCAACAACCACAACAGCATGCTTCTGTGCTCCCTTTTAAAGCAAAATTCATAATGAAAATATATTACTTTGTCTCCAATTCTTCTCTTTCTATCCTCTCTTAAGCCCAAACTCCACCATTCCACCAATACTGTCTCTCATCCAAATCACCAATAATCTTTATTTGCTGAAACATTTCTATTCCATTTTACTTGAAGACATAGCAGCATTTGACATAGTAAATACAACTGAGTTAATCATCACTTTTTCCTTGAAAGATTCCCTTTACCTAGCTTCTAAGACACCTCAGAGTCTCTGGTTTTCTTGCTACCCTCAACATGGGGCTTTTTTTTTTTTTTTTTTTGTCTCCTTTGATGGTTCTTCCTCATCTCCTTAAACACTGCAATGCAAAGGGCAATCTCAGTCCTTGTATCACCTCTCTTCTTCTCCATTTATTCACCCTGAGGTGAGTTCACCTAGTCACATGACTTCAACTAATGTTTATTTGCTATCAGCGAAAAATATATGCAGTTCTTGTATGGCACTCTGAGTTAATGCGCTGGATTGCAAGGTCGGTTTGAACCACAAGATCATCAGTTCAAGATTACCAGCTGCTCCATGGAAACTCTACATAGGGTCGCTATGGGTCGGAACCAATTCAACAACACTTAACAACAAACAACAACAAAAGTGTATGTGGAATCCTGGTGTGGCACTGCAGATTTATGCACTGGACTGCAAGATCAGTTTGAACCACAAGGTCAGCAGTTCAAGCTCACCAGCCACTCCTCAGAAACCCTATACAGAGTTGCCATAAGCCTGAGCTGATTTCGAAAGCATTTAACAACGAAATTGTTTAAAAAGGGAGCTTCAAACAACTCAAGGAAAAATTCATCATTTTTTCTATTCCAATATTCTATAACCTTTTTGAAGCCTCCATGTATAATCAAGTTTCTGCCTAGATATGATGACTTCTATTCAAACTTGGCCAACAATCATCACCTGAAACCAATCCTCTTACACTTTTCCACTTTCCAAACCTGCTTCATCTTTGGTCTCCCTTAATTCTGAAAAGAAAAATCTACTATTTAGATGACAGTATACAGGAATAAGATTGTGCTACAAAGAAAAAACAAATAATTTCAAAACAGCCAAATGCAGACAGCTTGAGATGACAAATTTTAACAACACAATAGAAATGTATTAACCAAAAGCATAAACAGAAGAAAACCTTGAATTCCATTGCCATTATTCTCATTAACATCCTTTAATGTTCATTTTACTTATCGTAAAGCTCCAATGAATAGGAAAAGAAGTCAAAATATTTTGTAAGACTGGAAGAAAACTATGCCAGAGTTCATAATGTAAAATCAGACTTACCCTAAGAGAGATTTTCTCCTCAAAAATGTTAATTTAAAAAACAAAAACAGCAACAGGAGATGATAAGAGAGGGATGGCCATCAGACAAAATAAGAAGGGCCAAAAAAGAGGGGAAACATGAACAATGCATTTGCCCCAAATCTAAGAAAGTCTTTATAGGGAGGGAGTCTGTTATAAAGAGGTCATCCAAGTTTGAGAGAACAACAAAGACAGAAAAAATGCCCTTGGTTTTAACATGGATTGCACAATCAACTCACTGAGAACAATTAAGTGAAAATCAAAATCCAATAGGTTGACAGGAGGACAAGGAATAGTCCTAAGTTTGTTCATATAACTTGAAGAATGGCTTTTAAAGAGAAAAAAAAAAGTATTAATAGCTGAAGAATGTGTATGGTTGATGGAAAAAACACAGTTGCCACATGGAAGACATGACTTAAGTGTGTATCACCTCTAGCTTTGCTTGATTTTTCCTACAAAGAAAATTTTTATTCTTAAGGCTACTGAAAAAGTCTATCATTGTACTCATTTCATAAGCAAGTTATTATATAATACAATTTTATAAAACAATAGTATCTCAGAGCATACCTAAGGTAATCTGCATCACTCTTTTAGGTCTTCTATTTTTGTAAACTTAAATTAGTTTTTCTACTTGATTTCTAATAGCTTTTTGTCTTTGATTGACGCTCAGACCCATTCTAATAGCTACATTGAAAAAAAATGTGTTAAAGAAGTACTTGAAATTATAGGTTTTTGCTGTTTTTCTATTATTAGTACAGCACATAAATGTTACACTTATATAAATCAATTTGTAACTCTGCGTTCCAAGACATTAAAAATTACTTAAGAAGATGACTGCAGAACCTGGAAAAACTGTTTCTGCTATCGATATGTGATTGGTCTTTTTATACAAATATAAGGAAGTATAGATACAGATATATATTTGTTGTTGTTATGTCCGTGGAGTTGGTTCCGACTCATAGTGACCCTGTACAGGGTTTCCAAGGCTGTAAATCTTAACGGGAGCAGAAAGCCTCATCTTTCTCCCACGGAACAGCTGGTAGTTTCAAACTGCTGACCTACCAGAGCTCCATATATATATAAATTGAATTTTTTTGAAATTTTAGCTGTGCTGTCAACTTTGGAAAAAGTATATCAGTTGTACCGTGTTGAGTTGCCATTGTACAGAAATTAACAGCCATATTGGTCTTTAAACTTAATTTTTTTCCCCATTTGTACAGAGGTAATTAACGTACTATATTATATATGTAAGGTCTTATCTACATGGGTTTGATTATGGAAACTAAGTATTCTCTAAATCATAAAAAAAATAAAAAATAAAAAGCTGATGAACATATATATTACCCATCAGCTGCACAGCAACACAACTGAGAAGCAACAGATTTAGATACAGTATAGTTTAATAATCAATGAAGAAACCATGACATTTATATACCTTTTAAAAAAAAAATTTTAAATAAGGAGTTTGGAGTTAACCTAAAAGTAACTGAAATCTAATACAAAGGAGAGACAATCAAATTTTTTAAAATACAGGTTATAAGATGATCATTCAGAAGATGGAACAGAAAGGAAGAGGTTAGACAGACTATCAAGAGGGTCAAGAAACCAAATGGATAGCCTTTATCAAATAGAAAATCTAGCCTTAAGGTTTTGGGCATCGTGCAACAGAAGTGCCAGAACCTGAACAAGGGATATTAAAGAATCAGATATCACTGGAAAGATTAATTGAAAATACACTTTAATAAATTTGTAGTGGACATCTATGAGTTGGAACTGACTCAAAAACACTTAATAACAACAAAAAACTTGCAGCAATTAGACTAAATCACAAGGCTTTTGGTTATGTGCTAAGTAGTAGCAACAAAGAACAATTGCTATGAATTTGATCATTATCTGATTTGACATCGTTATCTAAAATTTTACATTGGTTCAGCTTACTTTTATTTGTGTATATGTGTATTGTTGCCATTTTTATTGTTGCTACTACTATTTTTATTATTTAAGGAGCCCTGGTGACATAGTGGTTAAACACGTGTCTGCTAACCAAAGGTTAACAGTTGAACCCACAGATGACAGCCTTGGAAACCCTAAGAAACAGTTTTAGTCTGTATACAAGGGGCCACCAAGAGTTAGAATCACCTTGACAGCAACTAACAGCAAGTGGCAGATCCAGGATTTGATCCAGGTACTATGGCTCCAAAGTCTACTCTTTGTAGCACAAAGCTTTTCTCTTTCCATGAGTCTAGAGTCCTCAGCTGCTCAATCTCTCTATGCCATCACCTCTGCCTCTACCTCTTGAGTCGCTGCTTCTCTGGCTAGGGTTCCATGTTCCGCTCATGTTGTGGTTCTAAGGTCCTCTGTGTCTGGAGTGTAAGATTTACTAATCTCCCCTTTATGTTACACAACTAATTGTGACCATCATAGTTATGATAACAATTGCTCACTATTAAATCTTAAGAATCTTATCCCCATCTCTTTTCACCGACCTACATAAACAAGATGAAAACTATTCAGTGGGAATTCTATACCTTCCTCTGCACACTCTGAAACTAAACTCCCTCTTGAAAACTTGTAAGCCAGTCATTTTAAGCCTTTATAGTCCCTGTATATAATATTGGCTATATTAGGTAGCCAATGTCTAAGTTGCCTGTCCCTATTAACCCTGTGTGCAGAAGGGACAGGCTTTACAGAATTGATATTCTTATATGAGAACAAATATATACCTAAACTTTAATTCTAAACAAAACTATATTGTGAATCTTTATGGATGCTGGTGAAGACAGTGGTGGTATTTTCAATAGAATGACATGCTTTTAATTTAGTATTATGTATACAAATTTGGAGACCTGGTGTGGCACTGTTAGATAAGCACTGGACTACTAACTGCAAGGTTGGTGGTTCAAATTAACCAGCTGCTCCTTGGAAATCCTATACAGGATCACTGTAAGTCAGAACAGATTTGACAACACCTAACAATAACAATATACATCTCTCCATGTCCTCATCTCTGCCTCCATCTCTGGTATTACTGCATCTCTGGATAAAGTCCCACATTCCACTCATGGTCTTCTTCCTTGATAGTTCCACGGTCCTCTGTTACTGGACTGAAAGATTAACTACTCCCCTCTTTTTGTGACAAAACTTCTACCTTTAAAGTTTAGACAGTTACAGTTAGTCATAATAATTACTCATTATTGAATGATAAGAATCGTATCCCCATCTCTTTTTCACCAGACCCATCTACACAAGATTAGTATTACCTTCCCCAACACACTCTGAAATTAAACTATGCCTTGAAAACTTGTTAAGCCAGTCACTTGGTACCTTTATCACCCCCTCATTTTAGGTAGCCAATGTCTAAGTTGCCCATCCCTATCTACCCTGTATACAGAGGGGACTGGATTGATACTTGATCTGAAGGCTCCTTCCCTTTCTGTTGGTATTTTGAACTACTACATCCTTAAGTATAAGTCAATTTAATCAAATTGTAGCAATTTACACTGCTTTCCTTTATCAAAAATTGTTTTATCTTCCTGTAGTCTATTCCTGATCATGAAGCCATCAAGGTTAGGTGAATGGGTACTATCTACAAGTCTGGGCGTTTTTGTGCGTCTCCCCTCACTTCATATCAGCTGGACACTTCACTCTCAGCTCTAGTCCTCTGTAGTTATGTTCTTGACCATAGGCTCAGGAGTCCCCAGGTCTCACTACACTTAGGACCAATAAGCTCTTCCTCTTATCTCTCTCATCTCCAGGTTGACAGCAGTCTATGGATCATGGTCAAACAGAGCCCATATCTTCATTGCTATCTTTCCCCTTCTTCCACTTACCAGCTGACCAAAGTGGTCACTTAGAATCTTACATGCCTGCTTATGTGTTCCCTTTGAGTTTCAGTCATGGAGGGGGGTTTACTAATTTTTTTTTTATCTTCTTTCTTATCACTCAGCACAAAGCTGCACACAAGAGTGGGTCTTTTGTTAACTTAAATTCTGTGAAGTTAAAAATACTCACACACCAAAGAACAACCTTGTTTCCTCAGTGCAGTGGGTTGGTAGATTGTTGTTGTTGTTTAGACATTAGCTATCAAAAATCGGGGTTGGTGGCTATAAAGGCATGAAGTGGCTGGCTAATAAGCTTTAATGAATATAGTTAGTTTCAGAATAAGGAGGGTAAGATAGAATCCCCACTGAAGTTTTCTTCTTTTCCAAATGGGTCTGATGAAAAGGAACAGGGGATAATGGTGATAGGATTTTATGTCTCAATTGTGACTAATTGTTAGTATGACTGTGACTGTCACAACTGTAATTGTAGAAGATGTATAACCAAAAGAAGAGAGTAGTTAATCTTTCTTTTCAGGAACAGATGATCCCAGGACCATCAAGAAGAAAGAGCATGAGTGCAAGATCCCTACCCAGGAAAGTGGTTAAAGCAGAGATGGTGGCAGAGGAGGTGGCATGAAAAGACAGAACAGCTATGGGCTCTCAGCCCATGGCCTGAGAAAGGCTACGTACCTGCAGGCAACAGGCTGGCAGAATGTGCCCTTTGGACATTTAAATGATTATATATTTTTGTTTTATAAGTGTACAGCAAATAGTTTTGAATTGTTCACTTGTGAAATAAAAATGTAAATGGGGAGCCACAGGGAGGAAGCAAGATAACTATTGTTGCAGGGAGGGGATTGTAAATCATTGAAATGAAACAAAGTGTATAATTTGCAGAATGTAAAGCTGATGATCTTGTCTGTAAACATACAATCAATTCACACACAAAAAGTCACAAAAAAAGACTGCGAAGAAATCCTTCTAGTCACCACTATTCTCAACTTTCTAATAACATAAAAACCAAAAATCTTTACAATTTAAATAAAATGCTAACCTGGCGAGCATGTTTCATTTTGTGATATTACTTCAGAATCATCTTTTTCACCTGAAATATCCTCTTCATCAGAAAGAACCAAAAAAGCTTCTTTTGGTAAACTCTCACTACTTTCTTGTTTAGATGGCGAACCAAAAGAACTTTCCATTTTCTCTTCCAAATCTGGATTTGACTCATCAATTGGAAGGAGAGAACTTTTAGTGAAACAAGTCAGTTCATCTTCAGCAGGTGCAAGCTTTTCCAAAATAGGAATAATTTCATCTGTCTCCATGGAATCTGTGTTTTCTAATATAGTTTCATTTTTGTCATCTTCTATAACCTTTTCACTAATGGTTTCTACAAGATCTGAAGTATTTTCATCTTCATTCTTTTCACCTTGATCAATTTCCATACTACTAGATATAGCTTCTTCTCCAAGAGCCAGCTCTGGGATACTATCTTCCTCTACCTTCTTTTCATTTTTAAGAGGTAGATCTGAACAAACAAATGTTTCATCTGTTTCTAAAGTTTCTTCATTAGACTCATTATTATTATCACCTTTATTTTTCTCTTCAAGTGAATCCTTAATCTGAATTTGGTCTAACTTCTCATCATTCCTATTTTTTTCAAGAAAATTATCATCTTTATTGCTACTAGGCTCTGTTGTTTCAGTAACTGCTTCACAAACTGGTACAGAACTTAGTTCAAAGGCTGATGGATCATCAGAAGCCAATGTTCCACAGGTTGGCTCATCAGAGGCTGGCTCATCAGAGGCTGGTTCATCAGAGGCCGGTCCATCACAGGTCTGTTCAACAGAGGCTGGTGTTCCAGAGGACAGATCAGCAGAGGGCAAATCACCAGGAGACGTATCATCATCAAAAGTGGGTTCATCCGTGGGGTCTTCATCAGAAGGAGGTTTACCAGAGGCAGCAGGTTCACCAGAGGCAGCAGGTTCACCAGAAGCAGAGACAGATTCACCAGAGGAAGATTCACAGGAGGCAGGTTCACTGGAGGCAGGTTCACCTGAGGCAGGATCATCAGAAATGCAATCACCAGAGGCAGGATTACCAAACGCCAACACTCCAGAGGCCAAGTCTCCAGAGGATGATTCCCCAGAGGCCAGATCACCAGAGGCCAGAACACCAGAAGGTGGTTCAGAAGTCAGTTGAGAGGCTGGTTCAGGAGTCACATTACTAGAAAATACAGTTTCACTATTTAAATCATCATTCTGCTTGTTTTTAACATTAACATTTAGAACAGAGGGTGTTTCCTTCCATTCTGTTTTACTTTCTTTAGGGTCAAAACAAAGTTCTTCAATACCATTCACCTCTTCCTTAACTTTAATATAATCCATATTTTCCAAAGGTAAGGCTGGGTCCAAATCTCCATTTTCATGGTTGCCATTTAACAGCTTGACATCCGTTTTCAACAATTCCTCTTTGACTTTGTAAACTACTTCAAGTTGTTGACGATCACTCACTCTCATCGTTTTTCTAGCCTTGAAGACCTTCTTCTGAGGTTCTTCTATAATATCCATTTTGAATCTTTAAAACAGAGAGAGAGAGTAAAATAATTAATAATTGAAAGAATAGTCACCTGATTATACTTACTTCAAATTAATCTTATGAGAAGCAAGCAACACTTAATGAAATTTTGAAATAACTGCATGCAGAAAACTTCCTAAAAATCCTTCATGTTAAATTAAGTTTTACATATTACTAGAATTATGTAATCCTAAATTCGTAACTAGAGTCCTGGTATGGTGCTGTGGGTTAATAAACTAGACTGCAAAGTGAGTTTGAACCAAAGGTCAGCTGTTCAAGCTCACCAATTGCTCCTTGGAAACCCTATACATGGTCGCTATGTGTCAGAACCAACTTGCCAGCACTTAAAAACAACAACAAATTAGTAAACCTGTTCTAGATTAGATCATTATAAGGAAGTACTAGCACAAAGTTTTCATTCTCAATGAGCTAACGGGATGCACAGAGCCTAGAGTAGATAGGTAAACATTTCTAAAGTAAATAATTAATGGTTTAGTTGACAAAATGAAGCAGAAAAATCAAGAGAGGAATAGAGAAGAGGTATACAGATAAGACAAAAGTAGAATTAAGAAACAAAAACTGTAAAAATATTAATAAGATATTATCATTAAGAAAATGAAGACAGCCCACATAGTGGATGAAAACATTTGTAAATTATCTGATAAGAGACTTGCACCTAGGATAGCTGTATCTAAAGATATAAAAAAACTGCTGTAACTAAATCAAATTTTAAAACTAACAAATGACTAGTTTCTCCAAAGATAAGTGTCTTCCAGTTGGTTGTGACTCATATAAGGTTTCCAAGGAATGGCTCTCTATAGGGTTTCCAAAGAGTAGAGCTGGTGAGTTTGAACCACTGACCTTGCAATTCAAACTGCCCATGCAGTCCAAAATGCATTAATCACAGCACCACACCAGTACTTACACAGACTTGCTTGTTAAGTGCCACTGAGCGGCTCTGACTCATAGAGACCCAGTATAGGGTTTCCAAGGAGTGGCTGGCTGGTGGGTTTGAACCATCACCTTGCAGTTCAAATCGACCATGTAATCCAGTGCTTATGCTATAGGGCAAAACCAGAACTCCAACACAGACTTGTTGTTGTTGCCAAGTACCATCATTCATTTCTGACTCACAGTGACCCTGTATAGGGTTTCCAAGGAGTGGCTGGTGAGCTTTAAATGCCAGCCTTGTGGTTCAAATGACTTTGCAGTCCAGCACATAATTCACAGTGCCAGAGCAGAACTTCCACACACAGACGAGGATGGCTATAAACAAAAAGTCCAGAGAATAAGAACCATTGGCCAGGACATGGAAATTGCAAATCTCATATTAAAACTAATGGGTTTGTAAAATGATACAGCTGCTTTGGAAAATATTCTGGTCATTCCTTAGTATGTTAAACATAGAACTGCCATAAGACCAAGGGGTGTCACTCCTATGTACATATGAGAGAGCTTCAAAAAGTTTCTAGAAAAATAGAATGAAAAGATAATGGAACTTTCCCACAAATGCTGTGAAGCCCCCCGTTTAAATAACCCCTCAACATTTAAATACATGCTTACATAAAAATCTGTACAAAACAGTTTGTAATATCAAGAAGTAGAAGCAGTGGTTTCCCTGGCATACCATTATAAAATAAACACTAGATGGGGAGAGAAAGGAATAGCCAGAAATAACACCATAGAAAGCTTGTACGTCTGTCTTCTGCTTTTAACTGACTGGAATACCTAAAATGGGGCTACAACATGCCTAGTGAAGGAAGTTTCCTATGGAGCCTCTGCATTACATAAGACCATAGGTGGAATCCTGAACAGCATCCAGAATCTTCTGAGGTAGGAAATTTCCACTTGAAATGATGGGCAGACCAGCCTGGACCAGGGAGAAGAACAGAAGATACTTCTTGAAAGAAAGACCGACAGGAAAAATACAAAACAATATAGGTAGTCCAAATGATTACTACAAGAACAAGCAAGCTGCTCACCCAGGAGACATTAAGGCAAGTGGTTGGGTGCGCTCGGGGCAAACCCCCTTCCAAGACTAAGGCTCAATGGGAATACACGCTCTGATTGGTGACCATGTTCGTCACCAACAAGGGGAAAAGTAAGGGAAAAACAGCATGAAGCTGTGAGCTAAGCCCTACAACATTCAATAGACCCCTGTGAACCCAGATGGAGACCTGGTCAGCCAGCAGTATGGCAAGACCTAGGGACTCTTGGGCCCAGAGTCAGTGACATAGCCACAGAGGACTAGATCTGTGTAGATCAGAGTGTAGATCACGCTCCAGTGAAGCATCCAGCTGATAAGAAGAGAGGGCATATGCATAAGAACACGCACACTTGCAGATAATACCCACTTGACCTGGCTTCAATGGCTAGATGACCAGAGCTCAACTAGAAGAAGAAAGAAGAGGCAAAAAAGAGTAATCTGATACAATTTGATGAACTTGAAGTACATCTAGGGTTGCAGTAGCTCAAAAGAGATAATATTTACAGCGAGGATCATTCCCATCCCCTTCATACACAAAGTAGACAAGGATGGGCAATTTGGATATTGACTGGCTAAATGACTGGAAAGATCTACAGTTGTGCCCATTCTAAAGAGAGATGACCCAATGGATTGCAGAAATCATCCAGCAATATCATCAATATCACACACAAGTAAAATTTAAAAACGACTACAACAGTATGACAGCACAGAACTGCCAGAAGTTTAAGCCAGATTCAAACAAGGATATGGAACAAAGGATGTCATTACTGGTGTCAATTTTTAGCTGAAAGCAGAGAATGCCAAAACGGTATTTACTTGTGCTTTATTGGTTATGCAAAGGCCTTGGATTATCTGGATAATGAAAAGCTATGGGTAACGTTGTGAACCATGAGTGTTTCTGAGTACTTAATTGTGTTCCTGAGGAACCTGTACAGAGACCAAGAGGCAGTCATTCAAATGGAACAAGGGAATACCAAATAGTTTAAAATCAGGAAAGGTGTGCATCAAAATTGTATTCTTTCACAATACTTTTTCAATATGTATGCTGAGCAAATAATTCAAGAAACTGGATTATATGAAGAAGAATTTGGCATCAGGATTGGAGGAAGACTCATTAACAACTTGCGATATGCTGAAAGCAAAGAGACTTAAAATGTTTACTGATGAAGATCAAAGACTACAACCTTCAGTATGGATTGCACTTCAATGTAAAGAAAATAAAAAACCTCACCACTGGACCAATAAATAGCATTATGATAAATGGAAAAAAGATTGAAGTAATCAAAAATTTCATTTTACTTGGATCTACTATTAACACTCATGGAAGCAGCTGTCAAGAAATCAAACAAAGTATTGCAGTAGGCAAATGTGTTGCACAAGACCTCTTTAAAGTATTCAAGAGCAAAGATGTCAGTTTGAGGACTAAGGTGGCCCTAACCCGAGTCACAGTATTTCCAATAACCTCATATGCATGTGAAAGTTGGACTTGATTAAGGAAGACTGTAGAAGAATTTATACATTTGGGTGATGGTGTTGGAGGAGAATATTAAAAATACTATGGACTGCCAGAAGTACAGTCAGAATGTTCCATTGAAGCTAGGCTGATGAGACTTCATTTCTCATATTTCTAACATGCTATCAGGGGGACCAGGCCCTGGAGAAGAACATCATGCTTGGTAAAGTGGAGGGTCATTGAAAAAGAGGAAGACCTTCAACAAGATGGATTGACACAGTGGTAGCAGCAATGGGCTCAGGAGTAACAATTGTGAAGTTAGTGCAGGATCATGTAGTGTTTTGTTCTGTTGCTATGAGTCAGAACCAACTGAACAGTACCTAACAACAGCATCTATTACTAGTCAAGATGTTGGCAGTTCAAACCCACCCAGAAACATCTTGGAAGAGAGGTCTGGTGATCTGTTTCTGAAAGACTACAGCCTTTAAAACACTATGGAGGACGTGTGGCCAGAGACGGGTAAGGATCACGTGGCACCTCGGCAACCTAAGACAGAGCCATTGCCATGCTGCAATGAGTTTCCATGACGGGTAAGACTGAGGAATTCGCACTGACGGCCTAAGACAGGCAGTGTCCCTTAAACAAACAATAAATAAGGGGTAATCTGATGCAGACCGTGCAGACCCGGTCAGGAGGTCAAGACCCTGTGGGCCCAAGCGTTATTGACCGTCCAAACCATAGGCTCTGAGGATCAGACTTTAGCCACATAGTAGACATAGCAAACTGTCCCTCATCTGATTATTCAGTAATGCTTGTTAGTAATCTCATACATGAGCCCTGGATATCCACAGGCA